AGAGAGAGAGAGAGAGAGAGAGAGAGAGAGAGAGAGAGCGAGCAAGCAAGCGAGCGAGCGAGCACCTTTACCTGGTGACCTGTTTTGCTGGCTTACTGGGTTTTGATTATTGTCTAGATTCACTTCTTTCTGTTTCTGTATGTTGTTTTGGTGTACATGTGTGTAGGGGCTGACTTGAGAAGTTTTCCTTGATCGCTCATCACCTTATGTATTGTAGCAGGTCTCTCACTATATGACATTTTGGATAGTTGGGCTAGCTAGCTTGTTCCAGAGATTCCCTATCTGTGCCTCCTGCAAGCCCACATTACAAATGGCTGCTTGGCTTTTGGGGATCTGAACTCCAACCTTACACTTACACAGCAAGAGCTTTTATTGCAGAGCCATCTTCCCAGTTCCTAGATTGTCTTTTAAAAAATTCCTTTTTTATGTTTACTTATTTGTGTTTGGGAATGGGCTTGTGTGTGCTACAATGTATATGGAGGTCAGGGGACAACATAATATGGGATGTTGGTCTTTCCTTCTACCATGTGGGTTCTGGAGATCAGATCAGGTCATCAGTCGAGGCAGCAATGTTTTCATCCATGGAGCTATCTGACTGACCCAAGATTGTGTTAAACACACACATGCACACAGACTCACAAACACATATCACATACATACATACACCCAGTTGATTAATTGATTCTGTAATTGTTCATGCGTTGTGTTTCTTGGTAGGATTTTTTTTGTTTTGTTTTGTTTTATTTTGAGACAGTGTATACTATGTACCCCTGACTGGTCTGGAATTTTCTGTGTAGACATGGGTCTACTTCCTGAGTACTAGGATTAAAGGTATACACCACTGAGCCTGGCTGGATAGTTATTTTAAGTAACTTAAAGTAAAGTTTTTTATATAAATGTAAACAATATGAAGCATTAAGTACTGAATGCCGGTATTCTCTAAAGCTGGGATTGAGTGTGCCAATTAAAATGTTAACACTCATTAAATTTAATGTGAGTCTCAAAATGTAGATGAAGGTAAGATGTTGTAGGATTTTGGATGACATGACAAGGATCCTTGTTAAGGTAAGAATGAGCCATTCAGCGATTTTATATGAGAGTGAGGTGAGGAAATTTGTTTTACAAAGGTTCATTTATAAATCAGAGAGGTATTAGAGAGGACACTCATGAAGGCAGGAAGACAGAGTTCCAGAGAAGAAACAAGGGTTTCTGTCTTACGTTAGTGGAAATGAAGAGAGGACAAATTTAAGATATATTTTACACATAGAAATCTTGTAGGATATGGAGGTGAGTCAGAGTCATGATGTCTTCAGCATACAATGTGGTAACAATAGTCTAAAATGACCCTCAGGTTCCTGGCTTGAGAAATGAATCAGTGGTTCTACCACCAGTAGGCCTACAGTGCCTATAAATGAAGCTTGTTTTATGGTACTTTATGCTAGCACTTGTGTGTATCACCCTGAGCAAGGTCCATCTGTCCCACAGCATCATGGGCATTTCTTTTTTAATTTTAAAAGTATTTTAAAAATTATGTGTATAGGTATGTGTCTGAATGGTGCAATGTACATGTGAATGCAGGTACCTGCAGAGGCCAGAGGTGTCGGAGCCTTTGGAGCTGGAATAATGGGGTTTTGAGTGCTGGGAACTGAACTCGGATCCTCAGCAAAAGCAGTACATGCTCATAGCCACTGAGCCAGTGCTCCAGCCTCATCACACACAGCCTTATTGCTGTCCCCGTGGTGCCGAGACAGTAGCAGATGAAGGCACTGAAGGAGTTTCGGGTGCTGCTGAGAATGTAATTGAGAGGATTGATTTTGTGGTACATCTGTTAAGGTTTGGGAAGGAAACAGTGGTTTTTTATGCTATTGATTAGATTTTCACTCTTCTTTTAGAGTTTTCTAATCTATATTGGTACATGTGAAAAGTATATAAGAAATTAACAAACTATTTTTATAACTTTTAGAAGTGGGACGTATGTGTACAAGCCTGTCATGAATCAAACATGCTGTCCTCAGTATACAATAAGGTAAGGATCTACAGTACAAAGATGGTGTGTATTCAAAGTAGAATCTTAGTCTTTTAAAATATTTCTACTTTAGTAAGATATTATAAGGGAAAGTAAAGTAAAAGAATTGTCTTTTCTACCTGCTGATTTGAAATCCACATATTGATAAGTAGATTCTAATATTGTTTAATTAGTCATCGTATAAAGATGTTATGAAAAAATACTTTCTTTGTTAGCTAGTGGATACAAATTATTCTCTTTTTTTTTTTTTTTGAGACAGGATTTCTCTGTGTAGCCCCAGCTGTCCTGGAACTAGCTCTATAAACCAGGCTGGCCTCAGGATTCACTTGCCTCTGCCTCCTGAGTGCTGGAATTAAAGGTGTGCACTACCACTGTCTGGCAGAGTCTAGTTTTTTTTTTTTGTTTTTTGTTTTTTTTTAAATGGAAAAAGTAATTTTTGCTTTGAAAGTGGGTGTCAGTTGCAGATAGCTTCTTGGTTAAGGGTGGGAGCTCACGTGCACTTTTCCTTCTCAGTGCTGGGACCCCGTCTTAGTAAGAGTTTCTGTTGCTGCAGTGAAACACCATGACCAAAAGCAAAAGCAAGCTGGGGAGAGCAGGGTTTATTTGGTTTATACTTCAGATCATAGTCTATCAGTGGAGGAAGTCAGGACGGGAACTTAAGCATTAAGTGTTAGAACCTGGTGGCAGGAGCTGACGCAGAGGCCATAGATGGGTGCTGATTACTGCCTTGCCCCCCATAGCTTGTCCAGCCTGCTTCCTTATAGAAACCAGGGCCACCAGCCCAGGAATAGCATCACCCACAATAAGTTGGGACTTTTCCCATCAATCACTAATTAAAAAAATGCCCTACAGCTTCATCTTATGGAAGCATTTTTCTTAATTGAGGTTCCCTCCTTTCAGATAACTCTAGTTTGTGTCAACTTGACATAAAACTATCCAGCACAATTAACCCCTTGTCAACTTGACACACAAACACATTATTATTAAGCTACAACCTTTCTTTTCTTATTTATCCCCAAGATTACACATTAATAAAGACATCACAATATAAAACATTTTAGTAACTTAAGCCTCATGGTCTTACAAATTTAAACAATTTAAAAGTTGTGTCTTTAAAAATATTCAGTCTACTTTAAAATCCAAATTCTCTGTAAAAACCCAAAATATCTTTTTAAAAAAAAATTTAGTCTTTCAACTGTGGACTCTTGCATAATCAAAAAAATTAAGTCCATTCTAAAAGAGGGAAGAACCAGGGCACTGACTGTCACGAACAGAACGAAGCAAAATCAAACTCCAGAAGTGTAAATGACTCAATGTCCAACACGTGCGATTCACTCACAATCTTCCGGGCTCCTCTAAAGGGGCCTGGCTCACTTTTCCAGCTCTGTCTACTGCCATGTACACAGTTTGTCTTCTAGGCTCTGGCAGGCTCCACTCCACCACTGCTGCTGTTCTTGGTGGTCATCCCATGGAACTGGCATCTCTAAAATGCTGGGTCTTCTGCTGCAGCTGGGCTGCACTTTCTCTGATAGCTTCTTCTAGGTTCTCTTCATGGTGCCAAGCCTCAGGTTATCCGCATGACCCCTTCAGTCCTGGGTCCTCAGCTGCCCTGAGGCTGCTCCTTCACTCCTCCTGGCCTCTCACAGTGCCAAGCCTCAGCTGTTCTCCACAACCCCTTTGGGCCTTCAAAACCAGTACTGCCTGGGTGATTCTAAACGCTACCAAGTTGGGCTGCCTCTGGAACACAGCTTGTGTGCTGACTGATGAAACTCTTTTCACCTCCGACATGCTATTCTCTTACTAATCACCACCAATATTTCGGCTCTAGCTGACCAGGATCAAGTACCCCAGCAAAGCAAAGGTTTCACCTTAGTAGTTCTGATATCTTTTTAATCAGAGCTGATTTCTTCAGCCTCAGCTAAGCAGAACCACAGAATTTTTTTTTTCTTTTTTTTTTTTTATCTTCTCTCTCTTTTTCTGGAACTTGCTCTGTAGACAGACTGGCCTCAAACTCACAGATATCTGCCTGCCTCTGCCTATTGAGTGCTGGGATTAAAGGCGTGTGACAACCCCGACTGGCAAGAACCACAGAATCTTAATTTAAAATAACCAATGGCCCTGATAGTCTTTAAACTTCCCTCTGAAACTTCACAAGCTAGACCTCCATCTTCTGCACTGCCCTCAACATTCTTATCTTCTAAGCTCCTACAAGACAGCTCACCAAGCACTGAACACTCAATGGCTTTTCTTGACCAAAGTTCCAAAGTCTTTCTGCAATTCTCTAAAACAACATGGTCAGGTCTGTCACAGTAATACCCCATAGACTCTGTGTGGCTTGAACCTGCTTTATCAGGGGTGGGGACAACAATGTATCCTACCTTTACCTATATTAATTTTCCCACTAAACCAATCTCTGTCAAATCCCTTACTATATTTATTAGAAATCCTTTATCATCAAAATTCTATTTAAACTAACACTATTATATAAAACCATTACTTGAGTTAAACAGTACAGTTTAAGAGGAAATCATCTTCATAATAATCCACAGGTAAAAATGCCCAGTAGAACGGGATAGTTCGATGAAATAATCACACTTTGTTAAAGTCAGTGGCAATCCTCTCACACCCATTCACACCATGCCAGATACTGAGAAAAATGGCAGTAGCAAACACGTAAAGGCACAGCACTAGCAGGAGACAGTCTGGAGCTGAATGCCTCAGGGCCTTGCCTATCCGAGATGCATCCATCAGAGCCTTGCTTCCTGGTGGGCTGACTTCCTGAAGCTCAGGTGCTACCTGCTGTTCCTGTGACATGGCCACTGGCAGGGTCTCTGTCTTAGTTATTACAGATTGCAAGAGGAAGCCTCTCTGATGTTGTCTGAATGAGACACTGATTTATGGGTATAGCAGAATGTTGCTAAGAGTCAATTTATGGATATATGTCCTTTTAGCAGACCAGAATTATTTGATTTTCCTCTAGCCACATGGCCACATAAGCAGTGTCAGGCATTTCATCTCATGGAGTGGGTCTTCTAGCCAATCAGAGTGGTTGGTTACTTCCACAGTGTGTGTGCCACAGTTTCACCAGCATAGCTTGCAGGTAGGCCACTGTTGTAGGCCATAGGGTTTGTAGCTGGATTGATGATTACCATTCTCCTCTGGTAGCATGCAGTGCACCTTCCAGAACTATGAACACTAGTTAGTAAGTGTGAAGGCTCTAGTTAGGCTCCAGCTCAACTTCTTTGTGTTCAGTGAGGTATGTTAGTGTTGTCTTTAGCAACAGGGCTTTGTGGAGAGCGACTAATCGCCTTGGCAATAGCCTGGGATATTTGGGAGGCTTCCATGGAGCCCATTTGGTCAATGACTGAACCAGATGTAACCTGTTCCCTGACTGGAGATGTCTCGTTGGGGCATTGTCTCTCTCCCATTATTTGGTGATTCCATTTATATTTCTTTCATATGTATATTTCTCTCTCTCTCTCTCTCTCTCTCTCTCTCTCTCTCTCTCTCTCTCTCTGTCCCCCTCCCTCTCCCCCTCTTTCTCTCTCTCCCTCTTCCCCTCTCCCTCTCTCTCTTTCTCTGAGAAGCTTCCAGAGTTGGAGGTTTCCATATGACCCCTCAAATGGCCTTTAGTGTTAGTTGTTCCCCCACAATCCCTCTCTTAAACTTCTCATCCATCCTCTTCCCCATTTCCTCTTATTCAGTTTCCCCACTGTCTCTCCATGACTGTATATTCTAGTTCCCTTTTCTTGGGGGCCCTCTTCTTCCCTCCATAGTTCCTCTCTTGATTCCTAACCTCTGTGGTTATATGGATTATAGCATGCCTATCGAAGGCTTAAAAGCTAACCTTCATGTATAAGAGAAAACACACACAGGGTGTCTCTGTGAAACAGCTCTGGCTGTCCTGGAACTCACTCTGTAGACCAGGCTGACCTCAAACTCAGAGATCCACCTGTCTCTGCCTCCCAAGGGCTGGAATTAAAGGTGTACCTGGCATATAACTTTTTGTTTGTTGGTTTGTTTGTTTTTGTTTTTCAAGACAGAGTTTCTCTGTGTAGTCCTGACTGTCCTGGACCGGTCTAGCCTTGAACTGAGAGATTCGCCTGCCTGTGCCTCCTGAGTGCTGTGATTGAAGGTGTGCATTACCACACCCGGTAGCATTCTTTTTGTTATTCTCTTGTCTGAAATGTATTCTTTGAAGTCTTTTATGTCCTCAGTGCTCTGATACTTCAAGTTTGGTCACATACCTGTTTTTACCCATCACATGCAGATATGAGAGGATATGAGAAGCCCTTTTCTGAGTTGCTTTCATTGTATCTTCAGATTGGAAGCATTTGCTTGCAAGTCTTTCTTAATAGTTTTTAGTTTTTTTTTTTTTTTTTCTCTGTAGTGCTTCTATTCACATCTTGAACCTTTTAGATTGGTTGTCTGTGGGAGTCCTCTTTCCCTCTTAGCCTGTGACCACCAGGTCGAGAGGAGAAAGAGGCAGAAGGGTTAACAGCTTTGTGCGAGACCCATGAGCACGGATGGAGGGAGGCCATCTTTACTCAACTTTGTTCCAGAGTATAAGGAATACATAGGGCACAAACCCTAATTTTCAGTAAGTGGCACGCTGCTATCATGAGGCTTAGTAGGTGGCAAGTAGGTTCCTATAGCAGAGCTCCTAGCACAAGTCTTAGAGGGATCTGTGCCAAGGGTCAAGTTAAAGTTTAGAGACAGCTTTTAGATAAGGTCAGTCCTCTTGGCACAGGAGAGACACTCCAGATAAGGGCAGGTAGGGAGCAGGACACCTTGCTGGGGAGGGAGGGAGTTTCGTATTGCTAGGCTTACAGAGAGCTGCCAGGCTATGGCAGGCAGGCTTCAACCTCTAACCAGTCAGCAGTGTAGGCCAACAGTTCTCTACTTTTTTCTTTTTAGTTTTTCATCTTTTTATTGGATCTTTGGGGACATTTTCTTTATTTTTTTAAACGCTCTTACTTAAATTTTTTCCCATCAGACTTTACTACTGAAAACATTTTCCCCCCTTGGCTTCTCTCTCTTTCTTTCCCTCTCTCTCTCTCTTTTTTGGGGGGGTGCTGTTATATTTCTAACAATTTTAGAAAAATAAGAGATTTCTCCAAGAAAGTTTCAAGTTTTTCTTCTTGTATAGCCTGTATTCTTTTTTCAGTTTGTTTGTCTTTGTAGTAGATACTTTGCGCAAGTGTCTGGTGACCCCAACTTTTCAGTGTCCCAGTAGAAGTTGCTTGCATCTGAAGAATGGGTCATTTTTTTCTATACATTTTAGGTAAATTGCTTTGAGTTGGCTGTTGTGTTGGAGATTCTGTGAAGTAAGTATATTTGGGTCTGATCACTTGTTGGAGAGAAAGTGTACAATGCTGATGGTCAAGGGTTAGATGGAGCTGTCAGCATTCACTGTGTAGACTTCTTTCTGCTCCTGCTTTAAGTGTATGTGACACGCAGAAGGCCCTGTCTTTGCTCTTCCCTGAGAGCTGAATTGTGTAAACAGTCAACTATGTGGAGTTGAGAGGAGGTCATGGGACTGTCTTGAAAACAGATTTTGAAGGTGTTTTTGTTGGTTGAGCAGCGGCCATGCCAACGGAGGAGAGTGCTGGATGTATCGGTGACGGAAGAGTCACAAGCCACGGTTACCTTTCTAGAGCTTTATTGGGAGACAGAGGGAGAGGAGGGAGGGAGAAAGAAAGACCTCACGGAGGAGGGAGAATATGGAAGGAGAGGCGATACGGAAAAGAGAGAGCACAGAGAGGGCACGCCCACTTTTTAGGCTGGGATGGCATTGCAGAATAGTGTTGTAATTAAGGACATAATCCTTACATCCCAGACTTTCACTTATTATAAAAAAACCAGGTAGATGGGAATAGGGACGTGGTTTCTCTCAAAGACTGCTTCCAGCTGACTGTTGGATGTTCGTTGGCTCTTGGGGGAGTCTTCTGAGGTAGACAGGCGTTGTGGGATACTGTCTGCCATCGTTTGCTCTGGAGACATGTATCCCTCTTGGCTGTGGCTGGGAACCTTCTGTCTGACAAGATGCTGGTGACATAGATAAAAGCTTAGAGAGAAAAGAATTATTATTTTATGTTGGTAGATTCAGTCTGTCCAGATGGATTTTGAAACATGTTAAACTTTATCAGAGACAGATTATTTTAAAGTACCTATTTCCTTTACTAGTTCAGCATCCAGGAGACAGGTGATCAATTGTTAAAAGCATCTCACAGTAATAGATGTTTATGTTAAAGTCTTTTATGCTTTTGGGTCTGGGAGTGCAAATACCTTTTAGCTGTTACAGTTTCTTATTTGATGACTCCGGTTCTGTGGTGGTCCTGTATCATTGGCTGAACAGTGAGTTACGACAGGGAACTGGGAAGAGAAAAGCTTGTGGTGCATGAGAATTTATTTTTTTGGAATTGGGGACAAGGCAAAGATCAGGGCCCTGTCTGTGTGCACGTGAAAAACACAGGCAGTAGATCTGGAGTGAGGCAATGAGCTCTTATTTTAGCTGGAAATCTTTTTTTCATTAAGTAACTCTGAAAGTGCAATTAAATCTGGTGAGGTAGGTAAGGCTGTCCTCTGTACCCGACAATAAAGGGGAGGTGGCATCCCAAAACTCCCAGGACCAAGTCAGTGGCTCTGGCGTCCAAAAGGACAGAAACAGATCACTTCCCTGCTGTGTTCTGGGTTCCCTGCCATGTCTGTAGCCAAGCCTAGGTCTGCTGGAGGTCCTAGCTTGATGTACCCATGCATTTTGGTGCCTGGGGGCAGTCAGCTGACTCTGTCTTTCTAGGTGGCACTTTTAACAAGGCTGTTGATGGCCTGGCAGGGCATTCACTAGCTGGTGGCCTTTTCCCTCACTTAAAACAGGGACCCAACAGCTTTCTGGAGTCAGTGAGTGCCAGCACTTGGCAATTTTGTTTTCAGATTTTTATCTCTTCTCTGGTACACCTTAAATTGCCTATGGGGTCAGGAGCCTTGCTCTCCAGATATTTAAGTTTTAGTTGGGGAGGTCTGGGGAACAAGAGACGGATTTTATTCTGTGTCCTGAATTTTTTTTCCCTGATGATTGATAGCTTAAGGACAGCTTTTGGAAGATCTGCCAGGAGGCAGACTATAAACTGATCCTTTTGGAAGACTTGCCTGAGGCTATAAGCTGATTTTTGGCCTAAGAGCCATCCTGACTACTGTAAACTTATTTGTATGGATCTTAGCTGCTATCGGACCCAGCTGTGCTTCTCAAGGCGTTTGAGAATGAGTGGGCAGAGTTAAGGTGAGTTAGGGTGAAAATAGGAGCCAGTCAAGCCCTCCAATTTGAGCCCGCCCACTGCCAGTAGGAGTCAGACATAAAAGGTTGCACGTGGCAGACGCAGAAGTGGGGAAGGAAAAGGGTTTAGAGCTTTAACAGAAAGCTTGGGGATAAGATAAAGTAACTCTCTTATTTGCCCGTTCGCTGGCAGAAGTTCCCGTGATGCTGTTATGTGGCCAGATTTACCGGTACCCGCCCCTTTGTTTTATGGCTTTTGCCCATTTGCTGGTAGAAGTTCCTATGACACTGTTACATGGCCAGAATTATTGGCACCTGCTCCTATCTGCCAATGTCAGTGGTAAATGTATCTGCCCCTTTGCCCCATGGCTGTAGCCGAGAGAAAAATAAAAAATTAAAATAACAAACCAGGATCAGACTCCAATCTCGGGCATCCTCAAGGAGTGGAGAGAGATCTATGAATCAGCTCAAGTTACCCATTCTCTGCGTCAAGGGATGGGAAGGGCTGCAGCTGTGCTGCAGTTGGTCCACGGTGGACCCGAGACAGCATTTATCCCCTTGTCAGGAGTGAAAATGTGCCTGCCATTGTCAGCACAGCCCGAGGACAACACCCCCACCCCCGGTGTCCGTCACAAGGAACATAGCTCAGACTACAGCGGACTCACTCACTGTGGGGAAGAATCATGGCGGTAGCAGTAGCGGTAGCTGGGTAGCTGTATGGGGGTCCAGCGGAGGCAAGGGACATGCTTGCGGTCTCGCAGTCTCGCTGGATGGGGCAGGAGGCGGCAAGTGGCAGTGGTCACAGCAGGTCCTCGGTGGTCTATCTGAATCTGAACGGCACTAAATTTTGGTTACTCGGCAGCGCTCATGGCTTGGCTGCCACCCGAGGCAGCCAAGCTGACGGAGGAGAGAGTGCTGGATGTATCAGTGACGGAAGAGTCACGAGCCATGGTTACCTTTCTAGAGCTTTATTGGGAGACAGGGAGAGGGAGAGAAAGAGAGAAAGACCGCGTGGAGGAGGAAGAATACGGAAGGAGAGGCGATACAGAAAAGAGAGGGCACAGAGGGCATGCCCGCTTTTTAGGCTGGGACGCCGTTGCAGGCTAGTGACGTTATAATTAAGGACATAATCCTTACAGTCTTCCTAGTTTTAGATTCAGCTTCACTTACACTTTCAGGTCACATGTCAATAATACCTAGATTGTTAGGGATAATATAGAGCAGTGGTCTCAGACTTTCTAATGCTGTGACCCTTTAATATAGTTTCTTAAGTTGTGGTGATCCCCAGCCATAAGATTATTTTCATTGATACTTTATAACTATAATTTCGTTCCTGCTTTTTTGTTTATTTGTTTGTTTTTCGAGACATGGTTTCTCTGTGTAGTTTTGGTGCCTGTCCTGGATCTTGCTCTGTAGACCAGGCTGGCCTTGAACTCACAGAGATCCATATGGCTATGGCTCTGTCTCCTGAGTGCTGGGACTAAAGGCGTGTGCCACTGTAGCTGGAGAGCTTTTCTCTCCGGGTCCCACCAAGTCCCTCCAGTCCTGGAGCCCACTTATAAAAGCCCACACAGACGCTTACATTATTTAAACTGCTTGGCCATTAGCTCAGGCCTATCATTATCTAGCTCTTACTCTTATATTTAGCCCATTTCTATTAATCTATACTTTGCCACGTAGCTCATGGCTTACTGGTACCTTACATCTTGCTTGTCCTGGCGGCGGCTCCAGGCAGTCTCTTTCTCTGTCTTCCTGTTCCCTCAATTCTCTCTGTTAGTCCTGTCTATACTTCCTGTCTGGCTACCGGCCAATCAGTGTTTATTTATACAGAGCGATATCCACAGCATGCCATTGACGCCCAGCTTGCTCCTGTTTGATAAGCATTTGAATCCCTGGTAATGGGATTCTCTGCCAATGCAATGAGCCAAATCAAGCTGAATTGATAAGACCAGGTTCAGTCTGAGCAAAGCACTCCCCGGTGATCTCTAGGGAAGGAAGGAAGAGAAATCACATGGCAGGTTATGGACTGGAGCTTAAATAACTTGTAGGCGAGGTCTTGATCAGCTCTGGGGGAGGAGCTGCCACTTGGTGGGCTTTCTGAGGAGCAGGGTTTGGAGGGGGGCGGGGCTGAGGTGGAACTTCCAGTGGAACACTGTTATGAATCAATTTTGGTTGCTCAAGTCAGTTACTACTTACATATCTGTTTCCCACCTTCCAGCATTTCTTTCCTTCTCTTTTTTCTCTGGTTTATATGTTTTTCTCCTCTTTTTTGTCTTCTTTCTTTCTTTTTTTAAAAAAATCTCTTTACTGTAGTTACAGTGAGTTTTGGAGTAGGATTAGAGGCTGCTTTAAATCACATCTTTTACAAAAAACTTCAGGCATGAAATTTACTGCAATCTACAATGCACTATCCTAAACTGACTTTATTAAAAGCTTTAAAAATATTTGCTTGCTTTTCTAGGTGTCATCCTTTACAGTTTCAGCCATCAAAATCTCACAAGAAAGTTTTGAAAAAAATGCTGAAATTTCTGGCTAAAGGGGAGATTTCGAAAGACAGTTGTGAGGGTAAGAAGAGATCTGGTCTGGAAACTATTTGCTCTAAACTAATGTATCTCTCCAAGGCTCCCACTGTGACATGTCTGACTCTGGTCAGGTAGGGGAAGGAGTGGGTTAGAACATAATCCTATACTAATATCACAAGCTGTGACACCAGTGACACTGCCATTTGTCTCACTAGAGGCTCCGAATATAGGAAGTATATACTAGGAGAGTCTGCCTTTGAGAGAAAACTGAGGGTCATTGTGAAGATGTGATTTTTTTGAATTGAAATATTTGTTATTCAGATGCTTTGACAACCCATCTGACTTGCTTCTGCTGATGTCCTTGTGATGTAAATAGAGGAGCTGATTGATTGTATACAGAATTAAACAGTTCCTTTGCTGAATAAGGACCAGGTGGGAGCGATGACTCAGCAGATCAAAGTACTAGTTGTACTGCTTGATTTGGGTCCCTGGAATCCAGGTAAAAGACAAGAGGAAGTGTCGTACCCCTGTAATCTCAGCATTCCTAGTGGAGATGGAAGCTGGAGATGTGAGAATTGCCCCAAGCTTGCAGGCCAGGACACAGGCCTGGGGTCCACAGCACAGTGGAAGAAAAAAAATGAGACACTCCTTTATAATCAAAGTAGAAGGCAATGACTGACTTCTAAAGATTATCCTCTGTCCTCCACACAGAGCCTGCATGACACACATATACATGCACACGTGCACACACGCACGCACATACACATACACACAAATGCTTTTTTTTAACTAAATTGTATTTTATGGAATTGTCTCTTAGTTATCTGATCAATTTTAAATTATCAATGGCTTCCCTATTCGTAAAAGATTATAAGTACCATTTAATTCATTTTACTTTTCAGTGTTTTAACTTTTAAACCTTCGAAGTTTTCCTATAAGTAATTCCTAATACGGGGATGTAAGATGTGGTAGTGTAATTCTCTGAGCTCTTTCTCACTGCTGCCATAGGAAGCGCCTAATTCTGGGAACCCCCTACCCTCCCCTAGCTTATTCATTCATTCCACAAGTAGGTTTTGAATGCCTGTGGGTGTCATGGTCACTGTCTTAAGTGTTCGAGAGATAATGGTTGGTTTTGGCCCAGCAGGTAAGTTCTTCGGCTTCATGCACTGTCCTGAATAGATAACTTGGAGTAGGGTTGGCTTAGCTGGGGTCAACAAAGAGGCCAGAAGGCTTGGTTTTAAAGGTTGAGTGCTATTTAGAGCCTTGGAAATAGCTCTGGTGTAGCTCTGATGGGATATTATATGTACATCATTGTAAGAAATGTTTTGAAAAAGAAAACGTTTTGAAATTTTCTTGGTGTCTAGAAATCACAGTCCATATTTAAATTAATGATTGCCTATGTTTTCATGTGGCCTGTACGTTTGGCTCTTTGTTTAACTTATCGGCTTCTCAATTGTGTCTCAAACTGCTATCGTAGGAGGTGACGTAGTTAACAGGCCAAGGGGAAAGGGTTGAAATCTCAGGTCACCATTTTCTTTAAGTAAGACAAACTTAGCTAGATCAGTTGGGTGGCCATCATTGTGAGCTTGAGCACAGCTGGCCCAGTACTGGAGGTCCATTCTCCTGCTGGAGTGACATGTCTCGGGTGTGGAAGCTCCCTTGCTTTGGAAGGCAGGAGAGTGGGTTTGGCAGATGCACTGCAGTAACAGGGTTACTTACAGTTACATTAATCTCTAATGTGTCAAATAATATAGCTGAGGATGGGCTTTCATTTTTTCCTCATTTGTAGATGAGCCCATGGATTCTACAATGGAGGATGCTGTTGCTGGTGACTTTGCATTAATAAACAAGTTGGATATAAAGTGTGATCTTAAAACACTCAGCAGTGATCTCAAAGGAAGCATAGAGAGTGAAGAGAAGAAGAAAGAAAAAAGTTTAAAGAAAGAAGGATCTAAAGAATTAATTCATCCACAAGCTATAGAGGAGAAGTTGGGCTCTGGTGAACCATCACATTCAATCAAAGTTCATATTGGTCCTAAGCCAGGTAGTGTATATTTTGTATCAGTTGAGTTATGCCTAGAGACTGATTAGATTTTCTTGTGTTGTTTTGGGGGGAGGGGGCTTGGGCAGGGATTTTGTTTGTTTGTTTGTTTTCATTTCTCAATATAGTGTTTCTCTGTGTAGCCCTAGCTGTCCTGATACTTGCTCTGTAGGCCAGGCTGTCCTTGAACTCAGAGATCAGCCTGCCTCTGCCTCTCAAATGCTGGGATTAAAGGCATGCTCCACCACACCTGCTTTGGGGAAAATTTTTAATCAGATTAGTTAATTGTTTATTGGAGGACAAGTAAGGTTACTTCAGGGGTGGTTGAGTGTTTTTTCAGTAAATATATAATGTCTAGGATCCTCAGTTTTTATTAGTGATAGTAGGGCGCATGGTGCCTAAATGAATTTAGTAATTGCTATTTGAATGGTGCATTGCTTATTTCCTGGTTGGGATTTTCCATGAAGAAACTCTCATCTATTTATTTCATAAAATTTCAAAGGCAGTATAAATTCTTGATTCTTTTAATTACCATTTTCATAATAATATGTAACAATGACCAGTTAGACTTCTTTGATATCATGAACTCATGAATTGAAACATTTTCTTTGTTGCCTTCTGCTTTGCTTACAACAGCTCTTAAAGCTTGTTTTTACATCCTTGTAGTCTGACAGCTTCCTTACTCTCTGATACAATGCTCCTGGGTCATCTTGTGCCCACCCTTCATCAGGTTGCACAGCTGGAGATCATAAACTAGACTAGAAGTCTATATTATTACACTTAGCTTAGTCTAGGTTTTTTCAGTAAGTAGTATTAGGAATCATGATTTCATAGTGATGAGTCTTTGTAAATTTGTGACTGGAGTGTTCTGCATTTTACTACTTATTTTCGTTTTGGTTTTACAATTGTGTCTTCTTTCTTCCACACTCAGAAACTTTGGTTCCTAAGGCTATTGTTAGATTGGAATATCACATGACTACTTATTTGTTTATCCCATAGTATAGCGGTTTTAGAGTATTAATAACTACCTCAGGGATGGGGAGATGACTCCATTGATAAAGATTTTAGATACCTAGGGTCTAATTTAAAAAGCCAAGCATGGCTGAGTATGCCTGTAATACTTGGAGGAGGCAGACACACAGATTGCTAGGGCTTGCTGGTCAGCTGGTTTTGTTGAGTCAGTGAGCAGTTCAGTGAGAGGTGCTATATCAAAAATGAGATGGGAAGCTTGTGGTGGTGGTGGTCATCTTTAATCCCAGTACCTGGGAGGTGGAGGTGGGTAGAGCTCTGAGTTCAAGTCCAGTCTGGTCTACATAGAGAGTTCCAGGTTAGTTAGGGCTACATAGTGAGACCCTATCTCAACAATTAACAAAAGGAAAAATGTGATGGTGAGCAACTGAAGAAAACACCTAACATTGACTCCTGGCTTCTGGGTGTGCATGCATATATGGACACACAAACATGAATACACAGCTTCCAGGACTAAGACTACTGAAACATTAAAACTACCTTTTTTACTGTTTTCCCACCTCCCTCAGTATATTTTTTTATTAAAAGTGTGAATTAAGAAATTAAGAATCTTAAAGGCATGAGTTTGAGGCCAGCCTGGTCTACCGAGTGAGATCCAGGACAGACGCCAAAACTACACAGAGAAACCCTGTCTTTTTTGGTATTTCAAGACAGGGTTTCTCTGTGTAGCTTTGAGCCTTTCCTGGAACTCACTTTGTAGGCCAGGCTGGCCTCGAACTCACAGAGATCCACCTGCCTCTGCCTTCCAAGTGCTGGGATTAAAAGTGTGCACCACCACCCGCCCGGCTTAAAAAAAAAAAAGAATCTTAAAGGCTAGGAATCTGTGGAACCTGAAGTTTGTTTGTTTGTTTAGCAATGGCTGCAGGTATATTCTCTTGGAATTCATTAGAGCTTATGCAGATTTGCTCTGCTATTCACATCATTTGAAGTAATGTGTAATGCCTAAGGTGCTGAATCTCTGTGGGCATGTGGTTGGTGTGGTGTACTGATTTTACATTGATGGTCTGTTTCCATTTGTTGATCTAGATAGAACAGCAGTTCTCAACAGTGGGTCAAGCCTCCTCTGGGGTTGAACAAGGGATCACCAAAGACCACTGGAAAACACAGATAGTGATATTAAGATTCATAATAGTAGCAAAGTTACTGTTTTGAAGTAGCAATGAAAATAATTTTATGGTTGGAGATCACCACACCATGAGAAACTTTTAAAGGGTCATAGTAATAAGAAAGTTAAGAACCACTGATTTAGAATATCTGTGTACTCTGAGCTGAAACCCTGACTTCTTATTTATTGTATGTCATGATCTGGCAGTATAAAAGAGTAGAGAGAAACAATCATGATGATTTCTTAGTCCTGTGAATGGATTAGTGTGAAGATGTCATAGATGGTCATTCATAATAAAACAAAACAAAAACCCTAAGAATTGGTTTTCAGCTTATTCCCTTTCCCTGTTTTCTATTCTTTGAGGATTTTTTACACTGCATTTTGATCATGTTCACCTCTCCCCTCCTTCCAGATTTATGCCTCCTTCCCAGCTCACTCAACTGTCCCTCCCCCCTTTTTAAACCCACCAAGTCCAATTTGTGCTGTGTATATATTCTTGGATATGTGGCTTTCACTGCAGGGTGATCAACCCAACAGGTCCACATACCTTAACAGTGACTTTCCCTCTCCCAGCAGCTATCAATTGCTCCTTAGCTTAGGATGGGACTTTGTGTCCACCTCCCTTCTCTATGCTGGGAATTCTTGTCTGGCCTTAGCTTGTATAGGTCATGCACGTGCTGTCTCATCTGCTGTGAGTTCGTGTGTATAATTGCCCCACTGTGTCTGGAAAACAGTTTTCTTATAGTCATCCACAGCCACTGGCTATTATAATGTGTAGCCGGAAGTTTTCCTGTGTCTTGCAGCTGTTTGGTCCCAAATAAACACACAGAGGCTTATACCAGTTGCAGATTGTTTGGTCTATGGCTCAGACTTCTTGCTAGCTAGCTCTTTCATCTTAAATGAACCCATTTCTATTAATCTGTGTATTGCCATGTGACCATGGTGTTAACTGTTAGCTGGCATGTTGCTCCTTTGGTGGTGGGCTGGCATCTGCTCTGACTCCACCCATCTTCATCTCTGTCTACAGTTTGAATGTACTGTCTAACCTTATTCTGCCTTGCCATTGGCCAAACAGCTTTATTTATCAACAGTGAGAGCAACACATATTCACAGCATACAGACAGATATCCCACAGCAATAGTGTTTCTTTCCACTTCTTCCACAAGGATCTGTAGGCCTAAGGAGAAGAAGATGGTATGCTATAGACTTCTCCTTTAGGGCTGAGCGTTCCACTCTATATACCTTGACAGCTGTGGGTTCTCCCTCTTTCCTTTTTCAGACATGGTCTATTGCAGCCTGGGAAACCAGAGGAGTTACATTTGAAGGTCACATTCTATTTCTTAAGTAAATGATAGAAATAGAGTCATCCCAACAACTCACATGCAGTAAATCTCAATATCTTAATTGGTGGGTTGTAACTTGCAGCTGCAAAGAAAGAACCAGTCATTGTTACCTATCTAGAGAGATAGTCTTATAAAGCATTTTAAAGGAGTTCTAAAACTGAACTACTGAGGAGTCTAAGAAAAATAAGAAAATTAAGTACTACATTCTATACTTCTGAGTGTAATTAACATTTTAAACAAACATTTTGTGGTTAACAGTCAAAAATGCTGGGCTCTCCTGGGACTGGGAGTTTACAGAGAGAGAATTATCATAAATGGTTGAGACCCAGGATTCCCTTAAATCTCTTAATATGAGCTCACTTGGCACTCTCCAAGGCACAGTGACATTAAAAGTGTTTTAAATCTTAAAATATATTTTTCTGTCCTGTATGTAACTTTAGGCCATAAAAAAAGGAAACTTGCAACTCTTTTGCAGGGTTATGAAGTCAGATTATTCTCTGTAGCACTGGCCATTTGGAAATTCTTCCCCTGTGATATATCTGTACAAAAGCCGTCATCTCTAGACCTCAGTTAATTGCTCCCTGTCACCCATGCAATTTCAGGACCCAAAATAAAAAAGTTAGTTGGCTGAACTTTGAGTCTTCAGGTTACATACCCGTATCAATAAACTAAGGTTAGGAATTTGTGCAGAGTTATTCCTTGTCCTAGGTTATCAGCCAGACCTAGCAAGAGAAACTGGCATAGCAATTAGTTTGCTTTGTACCTTTAATCTTGGTTCAACAAATCAGACAGCTGGCTATTATGTCCTTGTGAACTAGACTGTCTTTCCTGGGAATACTTTATCTTAAAAACCATTAGCAAGACTCCTGGTCTAATCTAAAGCTACTTTCACCTAATAGTGTACAGCTATCTTGGCAGCTAGGGAAATTTAACTATTTTCCTTTGCCAACCTGAACTGTGATCTAAAACAGTTTCCAGTGAATTTATAATCCCTGACTTAAGCTAACATTATTGATATCAAATAGACAATGCAGTTTAAGGGGAGTCATCTTTTAGACAATCCACAAATAGAAATCCCCAGATGGAGTGGTATGCATACTTGAGGAAAACACACTATAATACAGGCAGAGGGGGAGGGTTTCCCCATAGCTGCTAGGGAAAAATTGCAATAGCACATGTGAAATTACAAACAGAACCAATGGATATTCTGGATTCTGTTGCCTCATGGCCTTGCCTGAACGAGGTTTTCCATCAGAGTGTTTTTTTCTCCTGGTGGGCTGACACCTTGAATATCAGTTGCCATCTGCTTATGTTATGGCTATCGGCAATGGTCTGACTATATAGTTCTGGTTAGAACCCTCTTTGAAGATGGGGCTGGCCTAGAACATATCCACCACCTCAGCCTCCCAAGTGCTGGACTTAAAGGGGTCAACAACCACACCAGATAGTTTTTTTTTTTTTTTTTTTTTTTTTTTTTTTTTTTTTTTTTTTTTTTGGTTTTTCGAGACAGGGTTTCTCCGTGTAGCTTTGCGCCTTTCCTGGAACTCACTTGGTAGCCCAGGCTGGCCTCGAACTCACAGAGATCCGCCTGGCTCTGCCTCCCGAGTGCTGGGATTAAAGGCGTGCGCCACCACCGCCCGGCTAACACACACCAGATAGTTTTAAAGAGCTGTCAGTTAATACATGATCTTTTAATTAGAACAAAATTCATTAACTGGAACTGTGAGCTCTAACTGGAGACATAAAAATGTTAAAATGAGCAAGGATTCTTCTTAATTAAAAGAAACAAACCCACCACCCACCAATGTTTATTCTAGATTAAAAAAATGTCCCTAAAAATAGGGGCCAGAGAGGCAGAAGTAGAAATGTGATGATTTCTACTTGTAGGAGCAGAAAAATGGGCAGATATTTAAATTGGATGGATGGATGGATGGATGGATGGATGGATGGATGGATGGATGGATAGATAGATAGATAGATAGATAGATGGACAAATGAATTCCTTTCAATAATAGAACTGCCTTGAGAAGTTTGTATGACTACGTGCCTTCTTTGACTGCTCCTGTCTCTAGAATTTTAATGATCCTGTGAAACTTCAATGTGAACTCCTTGGACTTAACTCTGTATAATCTATAAGACTTGAAAAAACATTTCTAGAGTCAAATGTCATTGGTCTAATATTTTGACATTCTTTTTAGGTAAAGGGGCTGATTTGAGTAAGCCTCCATGTCGAAAAGCAAAGGAAATGCGGAAAGAAAGGAAAAGGTTAAAACTCATGCAGCAAAACGCAGCTGGAGCCTTTGAGGGTTTCCAGGCTCAAGGTCAGCCAGCGTCTTTGCTACCGAAGGCTAAATCCAATCAGCCCAAGTCACTTGAAGATTTAATTTTTGAATCTTTACCAGAGAATGCATCACACAAGTTAGAGGTACTTGGAGGGTTTTTGTTTGTGTTTTGTTTTGTGTTGGGTATTTATTTTCTTTGAACTCATGCCTACAAGTTGCTGTTTTACTATTTAGCCTTTATTTTTCTATTTAAGAAAATTCTTTAAGAGCTTTTGAAAATATTTTAGGAAACTATTATTAAAATTGTTTTTAAAATTCAGTTGTAGCATGTTATTAAGCAGGGTACTATGGCTTTCTGTGTTACGTGATTGTAGTTAAGTAGTTTACAAAAACAAAAGTATTTAAAAATTAATTTAAAATTAATTCAATTTTAGAAATTAAAATGGTACAAGGTAGTTTAGATCATAATAAGTAAATCAGTTTTATTATAATATTCCAACCTAGGTCTTGATCAAGGTAGCACCAGTGTCACATATACAAATCTGTACTAACTTATACTACTGTCTTAGTTAGGGTCGCTATTGCTGTGACAAAACACCATGACCAAAAAGCAAGTTGGAGAGGAAAGGGTTCATTTATTTGGCTTACACTTCCATATTGTTGTTCATAATTGGAGGAAGTCAAGATAAGAACTCAAAGCAGGGCAAGAACCCAGAGGCAGGAGCTTATACAGAGGCAGTGGAGGGGTACTGCTACTGGCGTGCTCCCCATGGCTTGCTCAGCCAGCTTTTTTGTAGAACTCCAGGGTGGCAACACCTGCAATGGGCTGGACCCTCCCTTACCAATCATTAATTAAGAAAATGCCCTACAGGTAGATCTTTAAAAGCCATTTCTCATTTGGGGTTCCCTTCTCTCAAATAACTTTGCTTGTGTCAAATTGACATAAAATTAGCCAGCACAACTACCAAATCCTTTCTCATTAAGAAATCCCAGCCAGCCTGGTCTACAGAGTGAGTTCCAGGACAGCCAGGGCTGTTTCACAGAGAAACCCTGTCTTGAACAACCAAACCAAACCAAACAAACAAAAATAAATCCTACCCAATTTAGCTAAATTTTTTTTTGTGCTAAATTCCCATTTTTTTCCAAACTGTTTCATATTTCAGCAACAAATTGAAAATTTTTTTGAAGTTTTATTTATTTATTATGTATACAGTGTTCTGCCTGCATGCCAGAAGAGGGCACTAGATCTCATTCTAAATGGTTGTAAGCCACCCTGTGGTTGCTGGGAATTGAACTCAGAACTTCTGCAAGACCAGCCAGTGCTCTTAACTTCTGAGCCATCTCTCTATCTCCTAAAATTTATTTGTTTTTATATGCATTGGTGTTTTGCCTGCATGTATGTCTTGTGAGGGTTTTGGATCCCCTGGAACTGGAGTTACAGACAATTGTGAGCTGCCATGTGGGTGCTGGGAATTGAACCCAGGTTCTCTGGAAGAGCAGGCAACACTTTTAACCACTGAGCCATCTCTCCAGCCTTCATATTGGAATTTTCAGTATTAATTATATATAATAGCATTAATTTCTAAAACATTAACCATAATAATTAAAAAATATTCTTATGCTTGATTGAATTTGTAGCTTAATATTATCCAAGGATATTGATGCCAACCTTGATGTGGCTGAAGAGATGGTTCAGTGGGGAAGAGTGAAGACCTAAGTTCAAATCTCTAGCACTTATGGAAAAAGCATGGCAGTGTATGCCTGTAACTCCAGTTTTGTGGGGTTTACGTAGATAGATCCCCAGAGCTTGTTGCCTAGCCAACCTGCCTAACTAAAATGGTGAGCTTCTGGGTCAGTGAGAGGCATTAAGATGTAGAACAGTGGACCACATTCATTCTGCCAAACATAGGCATGTGTACACATACACTCCTGTGCATGCACTACACACACAAACACATAGGAATTTTAAAAGGTTCACCATAGATGTATTATCAGACAAACTTTAACAGCTTTCAGTATTACACCTGCTTGTTACTTTGATATAGGTATTGAGTTTCCTCCTTCCAGAATTGTAGAGAATTGACTATACTACTTAAAATACTTTAAGAAGAGGTTTTTATCCTTTGATCCTAAGTAGTTTATTCAGAGAATCAATTACACCTCAAAAAGCAGTTCTGTAGGTATCAGCGTTTACATTTTTAATATTGCAGTACCCAGGGTGTGAGGAATTTGTCATCTGCTGGGTGTCACACTTCCCTGTGCCAACATGAAGTACCTAGTATGCCCTTATTGTAGTGCATTTAATTTCCCTTTGCTACTATTTTACTAATGCATCTAAACTGTTGGTAATTAATAAGATAAATGTTAGCTAGTCCTGTGCACAGTTACCGTTTTTAACTTTTCCTCATTTAAGGCCTGGAGAGCTTTGCTTACTTGTCCAAGATGTTGACATTTTACAGCATAAAGGAAACATAAGAGCCTGCATTTAACTCCACAGTGAAGTGGATACACTTTGTGAAAGTTGCTTTTCATAGTTACAGGGTTAGTTGTAGGTTTAGAGTTAATAATGATGAGTGAAGGTGGCCAAAGGTAGCTACAGTTTTTAGTGTTTCTGACTAACTGACTTTTAGTAAGTTGTGGACAACTAAAATTAAAGAGTAGTTGTGTTATCATTGCTAAGAAGGACCTGTCAGTTCACAGTAGTAATAGATGTATTTCATTCCTCAGAGATGAGGCTTAAATATACAGGGCTTAAATATACTCTTTTGCTTTCTTTAAGTAGACTGTATATTGCTGCAATAACTTTTTCTTCATTTACTAAATTGATTTTTAATGTTAAAATATGTGTTTATGCTTTAATATTTGTTGAAACATGGTTTTTGATGGGGAGTTTCTGTGACTGCATATTCTGCAGAAGTGAATCAACAAATGAATTAATGAACTGTTTTCTAACTCCTTCTGAAGGTGAGGGTGGTGAGATCTTCTCCACCAAGTCCTCAGTTCAAAGCCACATTTCAGGAGTCTTACCAGGTCTATAAGCGTTACCAGATGGTTATTCACAAGGATCCACCTGATAAACCAACTGTGAGCCAGGTCAGCAGGCCAAGTATGAGATCTTGGTTTAATTGTACTATATTTTTGTTTATATCCAGTTTGTAGCATATCTGCACAAAGATAAGATTGAGTGAGTGGACAGTCTGTAAATGTGAAATCACTATTGTCATGTTAAGTGCCAATTATACATAATTTCAAAGTGGAAAGTCACATGCAAAATTACCTTTATTCAAAGCTGCTGTGTATAGATACATACATATCTATAAATCAGTGGTGGAGCTTCGAGTTAATACCCATGAGATGAAGGCCTGGTGTGTTGCTATGCTTCATCCATGTTAGAACATTCTAGAAAGAGTTCATAGCAGCTCAGTTATTCCTTATTAATGGAATACCCATACATAACAGAGATGTGTAGGAAAAGGTTTTTAATAGACATCTTTGTCCACTTATAATTTTATATAGCAGATGATTTAAAAAGTATGGGGGTGAAAAAAGCCTAAAATACTTATTAAGTAGAGGTGGCAGAAGTACTGGCTAAGACCAGTTAGTAACAGTAGTGACTACTGTATGTGACAGTACAGCTGGTTGATAGAGAAAAGTCAAAGCAGAAACAAATTGGCTCTTGGGAGTTTAAGGTTTTCATGAATGTTGGTAGAAAGTTGGCACTCAGGCCTAGTGCCACTTAGCTCCATTCCTGCTGTTTTATGACAAATCCTGGCTGAACTTTGGAAGTGGTTTGCGGAGATCTTCCTCTAGCCTCACCTTCAGAAGCGTGTCAACAGGTAGAGTTGGTTCAATAGCATTGGCTCATATTTTCCTTGCTCTGAAGGTGAGGCTAGTACCTGCCTCCTTTGAGGACCCAGAGTTCAAGTCATCCTTCCACCAGTCCTTTTCTCTATATGCCAAGTATCAAGTGGCCATCCACCAGGATGCACCTGTTGAATGTGGAAAGACTGAGGTACTGTCTCTTAAACATTTTCCCTGAATTGACATGATTGTAAAGAAACACATATATCTTAACTGTTAAGTAGTGCTGATGACTATGAGTGTTTGTTACGGATCTTTTGTGGGAAGGATTCAGACCTAGCATTTTAAGTCCTTCAATGAAAAATAATTGTAAATTTAAGAGGTTTTCTTACATAGCTTTCTCACCAGAAACCTGAATACAGCATTGTTAAGGGTTTGTCCTCCAGGCTAAGTCAGCAGACATTTACTGCCTATATCATGAAGTGAAAGAACCAAACCTTTAGCTGGAAGTTTCTCTGATCCCTGCAGTCGGGTTGACTCTCTCCTACTCGCCTCCCTCAGCTGCTTGGTCTCAAGTAAAGACACAGAGGCTTATATTATTTACAACTATATGGCCTAATGGCTCAGGCTTCTCGCTAGCTACCTCTTACAACTTAACTCAGCCCATTTCTATTAATCTATGCATTGCCACGTGGCTTCGTGGCTTACCGGTACTTTCACATCTTGCTTCTTCTGGCAGCAGTTTGCATTGTCTGCCCCACTCTCCTTTTCTTCTCTCTCTCCAGTTCGAATGTACCACCTCACCCTATTCTGCCTTGCCATTGGCCAAACAGCTCTATTTATCAACCAATCAGAGCAACACATATTCACAGAGTATAGAAAGATAGCCCACAGCACAAACCTGTTGAGATTAGTGTATAGAGCATCATCTAACAAGCACTTGTTGAGGGCCTCCATTTCTCAGCTGTGGATATTAAATGAATGAGAGTCTACAGTTGTAACAGTGGGGTAGTGATGTGTTGGAATAAAGGCAGCGACAGGTGCAGAAGTGACCCTGAGCCAAGCATGGCAGATGAGTAGGAGTACGTCTGGACTGAAAGAGAGAAGGGTATTCCTGGTAACAGTTGGAGCATGATCAACAGTGTGGAGACTGAACTACACGGTGGACTTGAATCACTGCTTAGCTTAGTATGGTTAAAGCATTGGCCGTGTGTCAGGTGACAGAGAACGGATGAGCTGTGCAGATGTAGTTAGGAGCCAGACTTCTTTTAAAAGTTGTTTTTGGAAGTACTAAACACCTAACTGCCATTATCCATTTTCACCAGTTCTCAGCATGCTGCCATCTTGATTTTTGTCTCCCTCTTCGTGCTCTTTGCTCTTTTGTTGGATTATTTTGTTCCAGATCCATTGTGCCATTTTGTCTTTCAGTACTTTAATATGTGTCTTGACTTACTAAAAAAGTTTGATAATGAACTAAGACAATCTAGGAAGAATTAAAAATATGTATAGAATAGTTTAGAACTGAGAAAAATCAACTTGGTAGGCAAAGGAAACCAAAGTTGCACTGACTTTTTTTCCTGTGATGCTGGATATTGAACTTTGTCCATGATACGCAAGCATTCTACCACTGAGCTACAAGTTAGCCCTTGAAGTGATAATTTTCTTTTTAAACAAGAGAATTTTATTTGTATATATAATCCAGAACTAGCTTTATTCCTTCTGGGAATACCAGCTCTGTGTCTTGAGCTCATTGTCTTCCAGCTCCAGTTTTCCCTACAGTTGTTTAATCTCAGTCTGACTTCATGACAGTAGAGATGGATGCTGTTACTGTAGGGTCCCTCATTCTAACAGTCTAGACTTCAGCCTTTAAAAACCAACATGAGTCTTTTCCAGTGGCTTCAGTGAAGAAGCTGAAAGCATGCCCTGCCTGGCTTCTTGAGTAATATTCTTATCCCAGAGTCAGTCACAGAAGCTGGGGCAATGAGGAATTTAAAATGGAATTTAAAAGTGGAAGATGCTCTTTACCTGAACCACAAGTCTTACAGAGGTGGGAGTAATTGGTAGCATGCTGGATCATTGAAGATCCTGCCTGGTGTGAAGTCACCACAGTGGTGAACATACAGAGGATGTCTCTATTCAAGAGTGGGGAGTTTTAAGGCAGAGCCCAGAAGGCTTTTTACCTTTTATCTGCATTTTTTATTTCTGTACATCTCCGTCATTTTGTTCCTCTGATGCTTTTAATTAACTGTTTTCTTTTGTTATATATGATTAGTTTCTTATACAACATTTAAAATCCTTTTTAGATTTTTTTTATTGAATTTTTGAGTCATAAAAATATCTTGAAAGTACCCAATCTAGAACTTACCCTATAGATTTTACTTTACAGGGTCTACTTCAGATTTATACTAACTTCATTCCTTGTAGATCAAGAGAAGTGTTACTTCAGGGTAGCTCTAGTTTCTCTTTCTGTTCCCTTTTTGTGCTGTTATGTTACTTTTAACATGTTTTATGTATGTTATAAATCAGTTACATTTTATATAATTTGTGTATTGGGGCTGGAGAGATAGCTAAGTGATTAAGAGTAAGTGGTTTTCCAGAGGAACCAAGTTTGGTTCCTAGCACTCATATTAAGGCAGTTCACAAGGGACCAGAGCTTTAGCTACAGCGGATCCAACAACCTCTTCTGACCTCCTCAGGCATGCATACATGGCAAATTTTCATGCACATAATTAAAAATAAAATAATAAACCTTTGAAAGTGTTTATGTCTTTTATAAGCTGAGAAAAGGGATAAGAATAACTAAATATTGGGGCTGGAGAAATGGCCTAGCAATTAAAAGCACTCACTTCTTTTCCAGAAGACCTAGGTTTGATTCCCAGCACCCCTGTGGCAGCTCACAAACATCTTTTTTTTTAAAAAAATTATTTATTTACTTGTTTGTTTATTTATTTATTTACTTATTTTGGTTTTTCGAGACAGGGTTTCTCTTTGTAGTTTTGGTGCCTGTCCTGGATCTTGTTCTGTAGACCAGACTGGCCTTGAACTCACAGAGATCCGCCTGGCTCTGCCTCCCGAGTGCTGGGATTAAAGGTGTGCGGCAGCACTCCCCGGCCTTCACAAACATCTTTAACTCTAGTCCAAGGGGGATTTGATACCTACCCTTTTCTGGCCCCTCCAGGCTCTACATGCATATGGTACAGAGACATAAATGCAGATAAAACACCCATAGACATAAAAATAAACAAATGTTTAAAAAGAATAGCTGTTTATGTTTTGTTTTATTAAACTTACTTCCTCAGTTCTTATTTGTTGCTGTGGATTTAAGACCTTTTAGGCTAGTGTCACTTCTTAACTTGAGCACAGTTTTACCCCTGTCCAGCTCTGTTCCAGCTGTACTATCTTTGCATTCATTTTCTATATGTTCCTGATCCAACAAAACCAGTATGCACATCGGTGAGGCAAAGAACGGCGAGTATGCCCTAGTGTTTGAGAGTCCTGTGTCATCTTGTTAGAGGCTCAGCCTTGGGGAATATGTGTAGCCTCCTCGGTGACAGTGACTTCAGTAGCATTCGCTCTCTCTCTTCCCTTGATCTTTCCCAGCGTTTGCGTCTGTTGACTTCACATACAGCTCTTCTGCTCTGCTGGTTGTTTTGTTTTTAGCAGCACTTGGTGTGTGTTTCTCTGTAGTCAGGTGTAATTCAGTCTGGATTTCTTGGCTGGGGCAGTTTTCTTTTTTGAGGGCTGGTCTGAGAGGGGTCTTTTGGTTGTCTCCCTTCCTGCTTCTCTTGGGGAAGCCCCTGGTTCACAGTTGAGCTGTTGCTCCGAAGGAGCTTCTGGCTTCCTCTTCATTCCTTCCTACCATAATCTTCACTCTTGTTGAGAGTATTTGTGCTTGAACTCCCCCATACATAACTCGTCTCACATATAGCCAGTTCCTTTGGGCGAGTCAAGCGTCTCCCTTCTTTATGCTTTCACTCAACACTCATTTACTGTGTGCAGAAGTGTTCTGGGTTTTCTGTGTGTTTGTTTTTTGTGACATTCCTGCATCATTTATCTTCAGGGCACTGCACACAGTTCAAACCTTTTGTCTTCTTCTCCTAAGATAAATAAGTTGGAACTCCTGACTCCCAGGACCTTCCCACTTAACCCCATGCTAGCTCTGTGTAAGGAGGTGGTTTCTGCTGTGCATATGATCCTTTGCCTGCTTCATTCCCATCCTAGGAGTCCTTCTGCACATGCCACATAGGTGTTTTCTCTTGGGTGCTGGCCACCAAGAGAAAGGGACTTGAGCATGCTGCTTTGTTCTTCCAGTTGTCTGCTTTAGATGGGGTTTGGGGGAACAACTAACTTTGACATGAGCTCCAAGAGAAATTCCCCCTGTGTATGATTTCAATTTTCTCCATGAGCAAATAGCTAGTGTTCCTGTGTTTCATGAGACAAAAAGAAAAGTCAGAAGTGTTATTTTTTTGAAAAGATTTTCTTTTCCTGACTTGTTCTAAGGGACTATAGTAACACATTGTAGTGTGTAGTTTTGTTAATAGTAAAGGGAGAACTCTTTTTCTTTTTTTGTTTTCTGTTGTAAAAAATTTAAACTAACAATCTGTCATCAGTGTACAAAATCCATTTGGGCTGTGTCATTAATCATAAAATAATCCTTTAAATTCCTTAAGGTTTTTTTTGAGAAATTTGAAAAAAGGATAAATATAGACTGCTTAGATATTCTTGATAGCAAGTCAGTTTTTTCTTTTTTCAGTAGCATCTTTAGGAAAGTGTCATGTAATTGCACATAGAAAAATTATATAGGATTTACAAATTATTCCAGTATGTATTTCCAGTATGATTTTCATTCAGGCAAGTGTTAGATTTTCAGAAAATAATATTTATAAACCAAATAGATTTGTGAACTGCCTTGTGTATAATACAGGATAAAGGCAGTATTTAAGAATATTTGCTTTCTAAAAGCCAATAGTTTTATATAAATATAAATGTCATTTTTTTCCTGAAAATTTGATGTTGAATTCTAGAAAAATGCTATTATTTAATAAAAATTATTAAGCACTAGTTGTTTCTTAAAATAATTACTGTGACTTCTAGCTCTTAATTATCTAAAAAGCTATAGTCATAGCCTTGGTGGCCTCAGATTTTTTACTCCATGATTGTTTTCCAGATTTTATTATGAGCTTTGTTTGACACAGAAAGCTGAAAGACTGC